GCTGATGTGATAGGCATGTTCCACGCCCAAAATACTCACGGGCCATCCGCTCATGACACGATCTATTTTTAGCATTGCCTGGCCTGTGACAGGCTTTGTTCTGGGCACTGAGAATTCAGTCATGATGGAGAGACAAGGTCCCTGCTCCCCTGGAGCTCACCTGCCAGTGATGGGGAAAGACACACCAGCAAATGAATGATCACAATGGTTTCAGATAATAAAATAGGGTGCTGTGACTGCGGGGACATTAGGTGGCAGGCAAAAGCCACACTGGGAAGATGACATCTGAGCTGAGACTTGAACGATGCGTCGCTGGCCTAAAATGCAGGAGAAGAACATTCCATAGGGAGGGCAGAGTGAGTGCAGGACATGCGCTAAGCATGCTCAGTAACAGGTCAGTGCAGCTGGAGAATGTCGACTGAGGGGCAGGGGAGGAAGCGCTGATCCCCAAGATGCAGGAGAAGACACTGCATTGGAGTCCCAGGGCCAAGGTAAGGAGCCTGGTTTGATTCTGCAGTGGGGATCCTTTGGTGGGATTTAAGCAGGGCAGTGGCATCATCTGGTTCCCTTTTGAAACACTCAGGTTGTACAGAATGGATTACGAGGAGGCTGGGGGCAGAAGGGAGCGCAGAATACTGCTGGAGTTCTGTGCAGGTGAGAGACGGCGGCCGCATGGACCAGTGAGGCAGGCGTCGGAGCGAACCGAGAAGCCCCGGAGGACTTGGTGGAAGATGTGAGGGGCATGGAAGGGAAGAAAGAATAAGGGATGATGTCTGGGATGTTGATCTGAGCAAGCAGGTGCATTTACAGTTCCATTCTCGACTTCTGTTTTCCTTTGCTAGATACTCCCCCTGTTAGAGCTTAAAATACTGGAGCTTCCAGGGTTCTTGATTGAAGGACATATGTCTTCTCACCCCATATTTTCTCCCTAGGTGATCTTATCAACTCCTATGGACGCAATAGTCTCTCAGGCCAGGGACCCTGAAATCCCTCTCCTACCCCCACAACCATTCAGTGCCCAGGTCCTTGACATTCAATGCCCAAAATCCATGGCAAGTGCTGTCTCCGCTCTCCACTGTCCCCACCGCATCTCACCCAGACTACTCCCCACCACGGCCTTTACCCCATTAACCCATTCTTCCCACAACCGCCAGCAAATCTGGTCAAGCTACTCCTGAAGAAAACACTGGCTTCCCACTGCTCTCGGGGATCGAGTCCAAATCCCTACCATGGCCTACAAGGTTAGATGGGGTCCCCTGCGTCCCGCCGCAGTCCCCTGCCCGTCACTGTCTATACTCTGGTCACTCTGTGGCCTTCCTGTTTCTCCAAAATGCCCAACTCCTTCCTGTCTCTGGGAACTCGCACCTGGCACTTGCCGTCCCCTGCCCTAGGGGCTTCTTTACACCTCCCATGCTGCTGTCTTTTGCTCGTCTTCAAAGGCCACTTCCTCACGGAAACCTTCCACTGTAACTCCTGGGGAGCTGTGTTTGTAAGCACTAAGACATGATTTGCATAACTATGAACTCTGTGTGTGACCCTGTTTCCTCCAGACTGAGCTCCCAGGGCACAGGGATCCTGCTGAGAGCGCTCTTGGGGCTTGGCAAACATACCGCCCTGCATGCCACTCAGTACTGTCTGAGTGTTTGTGAGTAGGGTGGAGAAATCCGTGCACATGCTACCGGTGTACTTGTTGAATGTGACTTCCCTGGGAGACATGCAAAGGCGGTGAACAAAAGCAAACCTTTTCATTACACTGACAGTCTTAAAACTCGATCAGTCAAGCAGCGATTAGCCTGGACTAAAGAAGGTGAGATGGAAACCTAATTCATATCCTTTCTAGTCCCCGCCCCACACAAGGAGTCCCGGTCCACTCAGTGCCCACCAGGCGATACCGCCCTGGTCGGAATTCCACGCGTCTGCTCGCCCCTGCGTGGCAGCCGGAGCTGTGAAGGTGGATGATCAAGGCAACCACTTACACGTGCTCTAACAGAATGCAGAATACTGCTTGTACCATTCAAGCCTCCCCGGCCCGGAGACTCTGACTCCCCGTGCTCACTGCAGCTGGCCTCGGCCCCTCCGAGAACATCCCCCCTGACTCTCCTAACACCCACTGCCCTGGCTGGTGCTTGCTCACTGTCTCCCTTCCCCCACCTCTCCTGTTGTCTGCTCTCTCTCGTCTTTTTTTAGTTTACCTTTTTTTATTGTTTTTACACTTTAATTTTATTAAATTAATTGGGGTAGCATTGGTTAATAAGATCATATAGGTTTCAAGTATACATTTCTGTAATACGTGATGTGTACAGGGCACTGTGTGCCCACCACCCAAAGTCAAATCATCTCCCGTCACCATACATTTGGCCCCCATCGCCACGCCTCACCCCCTTCCCTACCATAACCACCAGGCTGTTGTCTGTATCTATGAGTGAGTTCCCCTCTTGTCTTCTTTTCTCTTCCTTAGACTTCGACTCATCTCCTTACCAAATAATCACAAGGAACTAGGCACATATTTCAGCATTTGAGGCAATCAGTAAGTGTCGTGTTTCCTATGAAGTCTCTCGAAGTGTTACTTGAGAAAACACTGAAAAATATAGTTACGTGAGGACGTAACACCTGGGCTACAGCTGCCTCACTGTGACCGGAAGGGGGGTCCGAGCACTGCAGGGATTCTGAGCCAAAGCTGATGAACACGCTGCAGGACCAGCTACTTCAGAGGGTAAGCGAGACACGTGCCTTTCTGCTGAAGTCACTCACATAGTTTCATTAACTATGTCCTTCATTTGTTATATTCTGAGGCTCTGACATCTGGCGCCTTGCTAACCCTGGAAGGACTGCCCCTCCCAGGGTTAGCCAATTCCCAGAGACAGAAACCAGCTCTCCCATGAGTGTGCCTTTCAAATGCAAACCAACCAGTCCAGAGCCCCCACCCCAACCACTTCCTTCATGGAGTTCTCACAAGCCAGGCCACCATCCACCTGCCCTCATCACCCCAGGTTGCAGACCACTCCGGACAGCTCCTGTGTCCGCAGCTGGCTGGAACTCCTCAAACCAGCCAACCCTAACCTGCTCACCCTGCCTCCCCTGTTCCTCCCCTGGACACTACAGTAAAGGCTCCTGCCCACGTTTTCTTCCCTCTGCCCTTGACTGACCGGGGTCTTCCCCTCGTGGCCCTAAGGGGCATGGCATGGCCCCTCCTCCGGGGAAATGTAAGGAACAAACTCTCCTTCAGTGCCAATCGTCCTCTGACCTGTAGGCTTTGCCATATCTCAGATTTTCTGCAAATACACTATATTCTAGATACTCAGGGAGCCAAACGCCTCCTAACAGATGATCTGCAAGACCTTCAATCCAATTAAAGCTCTACAAAGCCCTGGCCGGTTTGGCTCAGCGGTTGGAGCGTTGGCCTGTGGACCAGAGAGTCCTGGGTTCGGTTTCCACTAGGGGCACGTACCAAAAAAAAAAAAAGATTGCAATTAAAGCTCTACAAATCTAGGTAACTTGACCTTATCCCAGGAAAATAACGCCAGTAGTAATCAACACCCAAGGCCAGTGTCAAGCCTCAGGAGGCAACATTCAGATGCTACTTATGACACCAAGACATACTGCCCTGTCGATGGGTTATTTTAAAGATAGTGCTTCTTGGAGCAGGAGAAAGGAGGTGGGTCCAGGTGGGCCTGGCGGGGGGCCCCCACCCAGAACGCTCCTGGAGTCTCCATTAGAGGTTTCTTTGGTTAAGGGTTTCCTGTGCAGAGGACTCTGCAGACTGCTGTGCACCGCTCAGGTTCCCCTTGCTGACTCCTGACAGACGCAGAATCGTCCCCACTGACTGTTTACAAAGCTGTGAACGTGGTATTTCTACCACACGTCAGTGATTCCTGCCGGGAATATTAGGACAGATGAAACCGGGGCTGGGAGGCAGATGGAATGACTGATGGCGTGGGAACAGGTCCCTGTGCTGCGGCCTGAGATGGACGCAGTGTCCGGCAGACACTCCGCTCAGTCAACAGAATGGGGGCCACCGTCGGTGTGTGTGCAGGGTGCTCTGAGCGACCACCAGGCAACGAAATGGCAGTGGTGACTCCGGGTCAGAAACACTCAACCGGCCCTGGTCAATGTGGCTGATTTGGTTGGAGCATCGTCCCATACACCGAAAGGTCACGGGTTCGATTCCTGGTCAGGGCACATACCCAGGTTGCAGGTTCAAACCCCAATCAGGGTACACACAGGAGGCAGCAGATTGATGTTTCTCTCTCTCTCCCTTCCTCTCTCTCTAAAATCAATAAAAAAAGAAAAATTAAAAAACCCAACAAAACAAACAAAAGACACTATCTTCCAGTGGTTATTAAAAAACCCACCTCGAACGGCCACCAAACGCGTCGATTGTAAACGTAAGGACGGAGAACTAAACGACCGGGGAACATCCAAGAATATCTTCTGATCTTCGGGGGAGATGAGGGGCAGGGGTCTCGGGAGGCGAAGCAAGTCCGCATCAACCTTTTCACCTGGGACCACCGGCGGACGCCCGTTCCCAGTGCCTGTTAGCACCGCGTGGGTGTTCACAACGGCGTCGGCACGCTCTCCTCAGGACAGCAGAAGCGATTTTCAAGGACCTTCATAGGTCACTCACAACCTCCGAAGCCCAGAGTATAATTTGTTCCGTGAGCTCTTAGACATTGTTAAGGCAAGTGGAATCGACCAGTGAGCCGAAGCAGCGGTCAGAGCTAAGAGCCTCCCTAACGTGGGGTCTGAGCTCAGCCCTGCGAGCCTCCCGGCTGCCCCGGATGGGGGAGGGCCAGGGGGAACCCGCACCTTGCCTCTGAGAGCAGAGGGTGCTTCAGGCGGGGTTCACAGGCAGGGTGGGGCTGCCGCACGGCAGAGCTGCATGGGAGGTCGACTCTCGGACTCAGGAGTGACTGTATAAACAGCCACAGGAAACACGCCCGAGTGGGACCCCTGCCGTTGGTGGGCACGTTCTAACGGGCCTGGGCTAGGAGGGTACTCACGGAGCGCTTGTCGGCCTCGGCCCCCTGCTGGCCCTGCAGACAGGCCGTGAGCTTCTTGTGCGTGCTGTGGGACACCTGCTTCACCAGCTCCAGGCGCTTCTCCACCTGCACACAGAGCGGGGAGTCGCTGGGGGAGGGCAAGGTCAGGAGTGGGGTCACAGGCCGGGACGATCAGGGAGGAGAGTCTGACGCATGTGTCTGCAGAGACAAGGGCTGCTGGGGAGACCTCCACCTCCGGAGGACTGGAAGGGGGGTGATCCCAGACTTCGGAACTTGCTGCTAACCGTGCACCCTAACGACTTTAAATGTCTCCTATAAAATCTTACCCAACTTGGTCTTCAAAATGCAAGGGGATGTCATAAAAGGGTCAAGAGTTGTGTCTCTGAATAGGTTTGTACAGGGAGAAGCTGGACAGTGTCAACAGCATTGGTAGTGGCTTGGTTTTAAAAGGGGAGACATCTCTGGTGTCTGTCCACTCAGGGCCAGCAACCACCTCACCTGAAGAAGGTCTTCACTCAGAACTTCAGTCTTTTCTGCCCTAAAGAGAAAAATGAGATACACATTAGTAAAACGCACAAACCAACCAAAAAACCTAGGAACACAGTTTCGTACTTCACTCCCATGGTCTTCACTTACAGAGAGATTAGGAGCAAAGATTTCTCAGAGGACATTACTGAAATTTACCGGGAACCTCAAAATAACTGCAAACAAGAGACACTCTGAGGAGTCTCCCCTGCTACAGACTAGCACCTGGATGAAGGAGAACAAACACACTTCTTTCTCCCTAGACATTTTTTTTAGGTAACGAAATTAAGTAGTTCTCCTTCCTATACCCCGAACAAGAACACCTGCAAACAGAGACCGCACTGAGTCCTGCTGACACGCGCAATGTCAGCCCGAGATCCTGCACCAGGGTCGGCCCCCAGCAAGTGAGATTTTCAGGAAAGAACGTGGACGCGGGCTGAAGGGGCTCCGAGGAAACGCACATCTTCTCTGAGAAACGCATTCCTGGTTTATTCCTGGAGAGGCTCAAAGACAAGGTTCAGGCAGTGATTTCCCTCACACAGGCGTGCTCCTTCTCCCTCCTTCTCGTGCTCACATCTGTCTCACAAACACTCTCACACACACAATGCCAATTCACACGAAAACACACCATCAACACTACGAGAACGAAGATGAACAACATCTCCAGAGTCCAAAGGACTGAGATCATCAAAGATGGTGAGCTACGTATAAAACACTGAAGAAAGAATGCATACTTCTGCTCCGGGGAATACGGAGTAGCCATATCTCACCTAGTCCTCTCCCTAAGTACAAACGAAACCTGGGACATTATACATTACACAAACATAAGAGAACCGCAAGGTGAGACGAGTGGACTGGCTAGGAGCCTCCAGACCCAGGGCCTGGAGGGGGAGGGGTTTTTGCTTCACAGATTCCAGACTTGGAGCCTAGGAGGCTGCAACCTGAAATACCAGTGGCTGCAGACAAAACAACCCAATGAAAGCCTGGTCTCTGTGGCCAAAGGATCGGCAAAGTGAGTTATTTATAGATAATAACTGCTCACTCCAGCCAAACATACAGACAAAACTGTTTTCCTAGCCCACCCACACAAGCACAGACTGAGGAGAGAGGAGCCCCTTACCAGGCTGTGGCAGGCACCCAGCCCACCTCCCTCCCCCCGCCAGGGTGTTAGTGCCGGAGAAGAATGAATAAGGAACTGGGACATTTGTCACTCTGGCAGTGACCACAGGCATAGTCTGGACGTCCACCCTCACTTGTGGTGGCGGAGCAGCTCTCCTCCATGGAGGTGGTGTCACAGGAAGCCCAGAGGAGAGGCGGGCCCTTCACCGCCACCCAGTGGTGGCACGTCCACCCTCTTCGGCGGCATGAGTGAAAGCCAAGTCTGGAGTAGTAAGGAGGCACTCCTACCCTGCCAGTCAGGGGGTAACAGTGGAGGCCTGCTGGGGAGCCGGATCCCCCAGTCTCACCCAGCACTAATAAGGAGCACCCCGCTATTAGGGGAGTGGAGACAAGAAGGTCGAGTAGGGAGCCTAGATTTCTACCCCCTCTTGGCAGTAACAAAGAAAAATCCTACCTTCCCCTGCTGGCTTTAGGTAAAGCCGCTAAAAGGGAACGTCTAAGATCCAGAGTCTCGTGATATAATACTCACAGCATCCAGGTTTCAATAAAAAATTACTCATTATACCAATAGCCAGAAAGATCTCAAATTGAATGAAAGATGACAATGAATGTCAACAGCAGGATGATAGAAATCTTAGAATTATCTGATAAAAACTTGAAAGAATTCAGTATATAAATGCTTCAATGAGCAATTATGGACATGCTTGAAACAAATAAAAAAGAAGGTATAAAGAAGAATGAAATGGAAGTTTTAGAGCTACAAAATGCAAACATCTAAATTGTATAATCCCAGCGGATGGGCTCAACTGCAGAATAGAGGGGCAAAGGAAGGAATCGATGAACGGAAAGGAAGCCCAATAAAAAATGTTCTACTCTGAACAACAGAGTAAAACAGACCAGACCAACACATAAACAAAAACAAAGTCGCAGGGACCTGTAGGACTACAGCAAAGGATTACATATTTATGTCATCAAAGTCCCGGAAAAAGAGAATAAAAAAAGTAGTGTTGAAAAAAATACTCAAATAAATAACGGCTGAAAACTTCCCAAATTTGGCCAAACACATGAACCTACATATTAAAAAGCAGAGCAACTTCCAAACAGGATAAAGACAAAGGCTTCTCACCAAGACTCAGAGTCAAACTTCAATAAACTAAAGACAAAGACAATCTTGACAGAAGAGAGAGAAATGACACCTTACTAAACATCCACAATAAAACGGTGAATCACGACAAAGGGTAACGATAGCAGTATGCAAAGCAGTACAGAAGAGAAGATGGAAATTACAAAGTAAAATAATAGACTTGAATTCAAATGCATCACTAATAAAAAGGGACTAAATGTGCCAGTTAAAAGCTAAGGACAGCCTTGGCCAGGGGGCTCAGTCGGTAAGCATCGTCCTGTAACCAAAAGGCTCGTTCCCATTCAGGGCACACGCCTAGGTTGCGGTTTGAGCCCCATTTGGGGCTTGTATAAAAAGACAACCTATTGATGCGCCTCTCTCTCTCTCTCTCTCTCTCTCTCTCTCTCTCTTTCTCTCTCTCTCTCTCTTCATTCAATGAGTATGTCCTCAGGTGAGGATTAAAAAAAAAAAAAAGAAAGGATACAGAAAATTTGAAAAATACCACTTAACAGGATTTATTTGATAGACATACATGAGAACCCGAATCTGATCAAGACAGAATATAAATTCTTCTCATGCATGCAAGAATTCATTTCCAAAAGTTAACCACTCACTAGCCTATAAAGCACATCTTAGGGGACATCACATGGCAGTTGACACATAAGTGATGTTCTCTGACCCAGAGCAATTTAGGTTGAAGTCAATGACAATAAAGTTGATATTAAAAAAAAAAGAAGAAGAAGGAAACTTTAAAACTTTATTTTATTTTAATTTTGTACTTTTTAAGAAAAATTCTCACCTGAGGATATATTTTTCCATTTATCTTCAGATAGAGTGGGAGGGAGGGAGAGAGAGAGAGACACATCGATTGGTTGCCTCCTGCAAAACCCCAACCAGGGCCGGGGACCAAACTGCAACCGAGGTACGTGTCCTTAACCAGAATCGAACTCACGACTCTTTGGTCCATGGGCTGACATTCTAACTATTGAGCCAAATAGGCCATGGCTAAAACAACTTTAAATTGTTCATAGGTCAGAAATAACTGTTAGAAATTTAAAATATTTAGAATTAAAAACATAATGAAAATATTGCCTATTAAACTTATCAAAGAGCAAAGTGATATTTAAAAAATGCAGAAGCCCAAAATGCTTATATTAGAAAAGAAGAGAGGCTGGAAATACTTAAAATAAGTATAAACAGAATAAACTTAAAGAAATGAGAACAAAATTTTTTTAAAAAGGGAAGAAATTAATAAAATACAAAAAAACCATATAATAGAATCAACAAAGTCAAAGTTAATTCTTTGAAAAGACTAAAAAAATGGCAAACCTCTATACAATTTATCAGGAAAAAAAATGAGAGAAGGAATAAATAAACAGTTAGAAATAAAAGTGGAATATAACCAAAACGCTAATGAGATTAAAAAGATAAATAAAACCAATGAACAACTTTATTTGAAAACTTAGACAAAATGGCCAAATAGCTGGAAAAATAAAGCAAGCCAAAACTGACTCAAGAATAAATTGGAAGCCTGAACAGTCCTATAAACATTTTTAAAAATTAAATCAGTAATTAAACATCTTTCCACAAAGTAAACAGAAGACCAAGATGTTTTACAAACCAATTTCTAAGAAATGTTTTTTTCCAAACATTATACAAACTCCCAAAAAGAACAGGAAAAGAAACAACACACTGCAACTCATTCTAAAAGACAAGTATAACTTGATACCAAAACTAGACAAAAAAAATTATGAATCATTCTTATATATTCACAATGACATAAATATTCCATACAAAATACATGAGTACAGTATGAACAAGTTAGATTAATATTGTTGGAATGCAAGAGTAATTTCACTTTAGAAACCTGACAGATTAAAGGATAAAACCCAACTATCTCAAAAAAGTTACAGAAAAATGTTTAATAAAATTCAATGTCTGCTCATGAAAAATAGAAAACAGAAAAAAATAAGTAGACTCCTCATATTGATTTGTTGCTGTTGTTGTTAATCCTTTCCTGAGGATATTTTTTCCATTGATTTTTAAAAAAATTTTTTTCTATAGAGAGTGGAAGGGAGGCAGAGGGTGGGGAAGAGAGAGAGACATCAACTTGGCCCCCCACCCTTAATGTTCCCTGACTAGGGGGTTGAGGATCAAACCTGCAACCCAGGTATGTACCCTTGAATGGAAATTGAACCTGAGACCCTTTGGTGCATGGGTCAATGCTCTAACCACTGAGCACACTGACCAGGGCTTATATTGATTTTTTAAAAGTACTTATAAAACATTATTCTTAACAGAAACATGTTTAAAATATTCCCTTTATAGTCAAGAATAAGACAATGATGCCTACTATCTGTCTATCCAGCTCAGTCAGCAACTGCAATAAAATATATAAAAAACAAACAAAAAAGGAACCTAAATTGATATCATCTATAAGTGATTAAAACAATGAAAGTCTAGAAAAGTAGCTGAATATATGACCAATATAACAAAATCAATATAACCAGTAAATACTTAGGAAACCTAATTTTATAAGATCACTTAACACAGAAAATAAAGTTCCCATAACTTTGATAAAAAAAACTGGGCAATATCATTGTGGAGAAAAAAATTAAAATTAATAAAATACATTAACAAAGACAAATGGAGAGATATACTGGACTTACAGAATGGAAGAATTAGTTTTGTAAAGATATAAGTTCTCTTCTTAACAATGCAACTTCAATGAAAACACAAATAAGGTTGTTTTTAAAAAATGAATTTAACAG